TCGAGCTCGATCTTCAAGCCGATCTCGCGTGCAAGGATGGTCACCTGAGGAGGCAGAATTCCGCTGCGACCCGGCAACCCGGCAGTGACTCAGCGGCCTTGCGCTGAACGTCGGTTCCTCCCAGGTCATCTCGGGGATCGGGCCTCAGGCGCCAAGACTTCGCATCCAAGCTCAGGCAAGGTTTGGGGAAAGTCCCGGGCTCGGTGAAGCCCTTGTCCTTCGCTTCCTTCACCACTTCAGAGAACTTCACGCCGGGCCTTGCGAGGCGTTCCTAGCGCTTTGCCCCCTTGCACAGCATCTCTCAGATCCAGGCTTCCAGGTGTTGAAGATGTAGGACAGGGTGCCACTGAAGATGCCCTCAACCTAGGGCAGAGTCTACCGAAGCCGCTCCCAAGGCCAAAGCATCAAAGAAACACGGCAAGAGCCGAAACCAACGGTGTTCTGCGATTTATCGAGCCAGGAGCTTTGTTGTGCGGTTCACGAGGTTACAGTGGAATCTGTGTCGAGTTTTGAAACGCATGGGCTTCGGCTTCAAGCAACTTGACGTTAAGGTGTTCTTAAGATCAGACTGGACACGAAACGAAAGAGAACGCACGGCATTGGATTGTCCGCTAGCATGCAACAACTCTCAAAAGGAGACCATGCAATGGCTGGCCCTTGCGCCGAATCCAGAATCAAGCTGTGCCATTTTCGGAAGGAAGAAATGGTCAATCCCGTACACCTGATCACGCAAACCTTTGCTACATGTGATGTGACCGGCATAATATCGAAAAACATCCGAAGTGCTGCAATTGCTGCAAACACTTGACAAGGGACAGTGGAAACATGTAGATTCCCCTCCAACCGAGGCCCTGGCGGTGTCAACCTCGTCGCCCGCTCTGAGCAACGCCTGAAGCGGGCCCACAACGGGGAGCCCGGCACCGACCTGAGGGCCAAAGTGTCTGCGACTGCCCCAAAGACTCCTCTGAGACTCCAAAAAGAGCTCGGGTCGCGGACCGTGGCTTCGTACAGGAAGCGGGCGCCGCTCTTGCGAGACGCCTCCATGATCTTCTCCTGGCCATGGGGATCAAAACTGAGCAACGCTGACCATCAGCGATGCCACCAGGACAGGGGAACGGTCCTACCCCGGAGGCCCTGCCAATATCATCACCCACGGAGACGACAAACACCACCATGATGTTTGCCTCGATCGAGAAGACGAACACAGCCGACAGCTGCTTAGCTGTCGAGTAATTGCCACGGCTAATACTGTCGTGGCAGTAGCTCCCGCAGTCACTGCAACTGCTGCCTTGTAATAGTCTGATCTGTAGGGTGCTGATGCTGAGTGTGTGGCTCCCCCGCGGGTGTTCTGATGCTGGTGATGCTGTCCCCCAGACCTGCTCAGTGATGCTGATGATGCTGCCATGCTCAGGTTTACTCCTTCCCGGGACTGCTGATGCTGATGATGCTGTTGCCTGCGGGGCCTGCTGATGTCGCTCGAGGGTGCTGATGCTGACAAGGCGTTTCCCGAATATGTTGCCGTGCGGGGAGAAGCTTCGACCGCTAATTCTCCACGCGATCTCTGAGCTCCCCAGGCTGGGAATCAAGCTTCCGACATCCAGTAACCCACAAGAAGTCTGAAAGATCAAACCAGGTCGCCAGCCGACACAGACGACTTGCCATGTCGTTGTGAGACGATCTTGGGGTCTATCTTCCTTCCGTTCATCGTGGGAGGGGCGGTTTTGATGGCGACAAGTTGCAGCTGGCTCATTGGCTGAGAGGAAACGGGTGCCTTCCACGAAGCATTGCTTTCCTTGCTGAGTGAAGAGCACACAAAACCCAGAATGGAACACACAGGCTGTCAACAGGCTTATCGCAAAAGTGCCCGAGCTACCATCAACAAGGAGAGCTTCTTCCAGAACCCGTGTCTTTGGAGGTTTCAAGATACAGATCCAAATCTGATGAAGAAACCGTGGACCAGGCCGGCCTGAGCCCAACCAGCGGACACTTCAATAGAAAAGAACGGCATGTCTAGCTACCAGTTCAAAGGCTGCAACAAGGGCAGCAGAAATTCTCCCGTCCACCCCAAAAAACCAAGCACTTGCCAGGAGAGCGTAGCGTGGCATCGGCCCACTCCCCGCTCGCTTGTTGGGCGTTGCGACATCCGCACCGGCCAACAGCCATGCCTGCAACTCGAACAGCCCCGCACCCAGACATGGAAAACGGGCATTCTGTGTCGAACTGCCTCGTAGAGCTCGGCAGGGGCATCGGAGGCCTTGCGACTCTGTAGATTCAGCACTTGCAGGGAGCTGCCGCCACGGAGGATCTCACTCAACCTGCGATTAAACCCGCTAGGGAATTGTCGCCATCCCCGAGTCTAATCCGCGGCCAATTGCTGGAGCTAGACCATGTCTCAAGCTTCTGAACCTCAAGCACATCCGGGAGCGTGCACAAAACATCATCCAGGGCATGCGCTGTGTTGTCCACAATCAACGCACGACCACCTCACAGCACAGCAACACACAGATGAATTCAGAACACCAGACAAAACGATTCTGGTTATGGCTGCGCGACTATGTGCGCGGCTAAACTCCGCCTTCTAAGGCCGAGACCACTTGCTGCGGCCAAGTCCACCACATGCTGGCCTGGGGTCTCTACTAACCACAGGCGGGCACGCTGCAGTGTGAGCCCACCACCTAGCTTCTTCAAGTCTGCCGCCTCCTCCTGCTCTGTGTGCACCACTCATGTCATGGCAGCTGACGTTGGAATCCCCATGCCTGACTTTCCGGCCACTCTGTAAAGCTCGCGGTGCCAGCCGGCAGAAGCGCCATGGTCTCAGTGTGGGCGGCTAGCAGCATTTAGCAGCAAAAACCCGAAAACTCGTCAAATAACTCACTCGGCGAGAGATTACAGCACCAAATTAATGACACCGTCACACCTGCACCTGCACTTCGGGTGTAGCGAGATCACTGGATAACGGCAGCGACGCCCCACGCTTCTCGGTGATACAGAGGGGGTCGCTGTGTGAGTTAGGTGATGCAGGGCACCGTTTCTTGACCCTGGAGACGTTGCCAAGAATTTCACTTGTCCTTTCCTTGCAGTGTGTCCCTTCGTCCAGTTCCCATGTCATCTCTCTTCTGCGATGCACCAATGTGACCTGGAGGTTGGGCTGTCAGGAACAGGCTCCCCGGGCAAAAGTCGGCCTGGCGAGTGAACGTGTCGCGACCGAATCTAGGCTACCTCCTTTGTCAACCTCTCCGGGTGGAACTGACTTTGAGCTGCATGTGGCCGGAATCATCTTTGGGTGGTGCACGCGCGTAAAGTGGAAATGATCCACAAGGCCTCTGACACGCACGGGCATCTGGCAGAAACCATACGTAGCATTCGGCTCCAGGCGCGGGAACGGGACACCGCGGCAATTTCGATGCGCACCTGCAGCGAGCGCATCAAGCTTTCACATCCTGGCAGCTGGCATACTGGCGGCAGGCTAGGGTACCGGCCCCGATCTCTTTCTCCAGCTTGGGTGCTGCTGCACACATCTGTCCGACCAGCTCTTGCCCTTGCCAACCAGCCATCTTCTTTCGGTCCCAAAAGTCAAAGGCCAATGCTTTTGAGACCACTCGTATCAGCTCCTGGCCCACCAGGCCATAGCCAACGAGACCCACCTCGAATTGAACGCACAAGTTCCCGAAACCTTTGCAGCTGCAGGAAGAGAAAGCCTTTGCTTTCGTCTCTCTACACCTTCCATTAACTCTTTAAACCTAGCATCAGTCGTGCACCGGCAGAAACACGCACGGAATACAGAAGCAGACGCGAGTTGGTCTTGTTGCCGATCTCGGGGCCGCGCATGCAGCGTTGGCATGCCGGCCCCAGCGGCAGCAAAGCGAGCCACGCCTGAGCATTGGGCGTCGGGGAGGAAGGTATGAATTCTGATCTGTGTTGAGACTTGTCCGCAGATCTGCACCACACGAGGAGGCGACGACCCCGCAGGCCGTACCGATGCGAGGCTGCCTGCCACAAGGACTTCCACTCGAAAACAATTTGATCACTGGGATTGCCCAAGCCACAGAGCTGCAAAAGACTCACTGTGCTGAACCCTCCGCTTGAGACGTGGGCGGGATGTATCCTGCGTGCGGAGGCCTCAGGGACACGCCAGCATTGCTGCTGCGGCGCGTCCGTCAAGAGGGGGTGGCGGCCAGTGCTGCTTCTTCGTCCCAGAGTGCCCCTGAGGATACCACGGCCAAGATCGCCGTCGCGGAAGCAGCTGCTGTCAACGCCTTCAGCCATCACGTGGGCGTGTGGACGTCCATGCAGGAACCACAACTACCGACATGCTGCCAGCCATGCCAACTCACAGAGAAAATGTGAAGCAGAACAGAGGCTCTGGTCAAGTCTGGGGCGGCGTCCCGTGCACCATG